ATTTGTTTGTATTAAAATGGATAAAATCTCAAGCTATTAAATTAGCCGTAGATAAAGTAGAGTATATTACTCGCAATTAATGGCTATTATACTCTCGGAATTTTACTCCCTCGTCGCTGAAGCGGCTCAATTCGTAAATATTCCTCGAGAATAATAGCCATCATTATTGACTCGTGATATAATCTACTATTATCATTTAAAAATAGACATAGGTAGGGAAAAACAATACACCTAAATCCCTATGTCTACTGCTTAATAATATATTACTGTATTGTATACTTTTTGACTAGACTCACGATATATAATAATCACTACATGTACCTACTTACTAACAACAAAATTTGCATTTACTGCCCAAGGGAGTGAGGGGGTGTAATTAACCGTTATAGTACAAACAAATTTCATAGGCGAATGGCCCTAGAAGCCGAAGTCTCAGGTGGGGTTTTAGTGGGTGAGAGTCCCACACTACTCCGGACTTTTCCATCCGGAGTGTGCATAATGCATTTCCCCACCTGACAAAAAAAAAAAAAAAAAAAAATTTCATACCTCCAGAAAAAGTATCACGTTCTGATTGGAGATTGCACGTAACAATTGCTATTGTTTTTTACGTATTAACGTACATTTGAATCGAATGTAAGTAATTTTGTATTACAATGCATGAAATATACTACCTATTACTATTTACTTAATGTACGAGTACGCATAACTTATAGTAGGTTTATTTAAAAAATAACTAATACAGAAACTTCCACCCCAATGATGAGTTATGTGCGGCATTTGTAAAATGATATGAACTAAAATTGTAAAATACTTGAAGTCATTGGCGAATTCAAGCAAGGGTTATGTAACGACAGATACCCTCAATGATACCACAGACCATGTATTTGGTCTATGCTATTACCTACTAATGATGGATCATACGTTACCTTATACCATGTAAATTGTTCCACAAGTGTGAATCATTTTTAAATTCATTGAACATTACACACAAACAGGTAGCAAGTTGAATATGAGGATAAAAATCAACATTCCTCAGAGAAACGGAAGACTGAAGGAGAAATAAGAATTAACAACTTGTAACATGCGAAGAAAATGCAAAATAAAGTGACGTTACGAAGGGCTTATTAACGCATTTTGCAACCTTGTACCACTTAATACCCCGACAATTTCTCATGGCACTTGGAGAACCACAATTTTTTGTACTTTAATGGTTAATTACACCCCCTCACCCCCTTGGATAGTAGATGTCAATTTTATTGTAAGTAGATGTGGTGATTATCAATAGTTTGAGTCTAGTAAGAAAGTGATACTCTATTTGTGAGGGTATGAAATTAATTTTTTTGTACTTTAATAGTTAATTACACCCCCTCATCCCCTTGGACAGTGGATGCCAATTTTAGATGTGGTGATTACCAATCGTTTCAGTCTAGTCAGAAAGTGATTCCTACTCTATTTTTGGAGGTATAAAATTACATTTTTTGTACTTTAAGTGTTGATTATACAATCGCAGGTATTGTTGTGTTGTTATTAGTCTCTGAAAAAATAGTATAGAACTAGGCGAATGCTTCTGTTATCATATAACACCAATACAGTAGTAATGTAAATGTACGTCCGATATACCTCAACCCTTTCCTTCTGAACTAACTCCAAAAGAAGAAGAGGAAACACAACTATACTTGGAGACACCAGACCAGCTAAGTTTACCAATAGAAAAAATCACCATAGCAGAAGTGATATCGGTAAGTAAGTCGGAACTAAATCCTAAGAAAGCACCAGGCTAAGACCTAATGACAGGTGAAGTTTTAAAACAATTACCAAAGAAAGGATACAAACTAATAACGGCCATATTTAATACCATCTTAAGATTGAGCCATTTCTCAGCCCAATGGAAGGTGGCTCAAATAATATTCATACTTAAGCCAGGAAAACCTCCCGAAGAAACGACATCTTATCGCCCGATCAGCTTATTACCAATAGCATCTAAAGTCTTTGAAAAACTCTTACTAGGAAGAATCAAACCAATTCTCAACCAACATGATCTCATACCACATACTGCGCATGACTTTCACGCAACGAGTGGCTAGACCAGTCGTTGCGTTCGATTAACTTATCAAGGTCAGTCGATGTGAATAAAGCACATCTTCGGGAATCGACGCCCAGTGCAGCGAACAAACACGGCGATCTAGAGCGGTGGCGCGCGACCGCTGCACGCACAATTTGCCCGCCAGTTCGCGCTCCATGTCTCGGAAGAAAACACGCCATGACAGAACAACTAATTGAGTTAGTGAGAGCTAATCCAATTTTATACGACCCTAAAGGAGTATAAAAATATAAAAAATGATCAAAGTCCTCGTTTGAGATCGAAGGGACTTCAGCGCATTTTTGTGTGGCAGATCAGTATTCTATTAGCCACTTTCGACTCAACCATCAATAACAGATCTTGTCGAAGGCTACTACATTCACTAACCGCTTCCCACTTTCCCCGTGCACCCGCAATTCGCTTTTAAAGTTTTGACTTATAACAGTTTGTTTCGTTCCCTATGTTTCTTCCGTATGTATGGTTGGTTGCCTGTTAAAATAGAGTACAGATTCAGTATTTACATTTTAAAATCCAGTATTGTCCTTGTCCTTGTGATAACATTCCTTTACCCTTTATCTTCTTTTCCGGTCACTTTTGATTTAACAATCGTCTATCCTGCATTTGTTTCATCAATACTCTTGAAAATTTGCATCCCTTAATTATATAAGGATCTCCAAGTTTATTGGTGAGATATTTCAATTATACTATCCATTGGTAACGCAATTCGCGTTTGAATATTTGACTCCACCATCAGGAAGATCGTGTCGGGGGCTACCACATTCCCTTTGGCGGTACCCACTTCCTACGTATCGTTCACCCGCCATTCGCGGTTGAAAATTTGACTACACCATCAGTAAGATCGTGTCGCGGGCTACCACATTCCCTTTGACGGTACCCACTTCCGACGTCCCGTTCACTCGCAATTCACTTCTATTGGCGGCACGAGAAAGAGAGACAGCGATTCGAGATTTACGAAACGTTAAACCGCGTGAGTTCGCAACGGAAGATAAAAGGCGCCCGAAGTTGACTACTTCTCGAAGACGCGCGCGCGCGCCTCGCAAAAGGTCGTTAATTTCGCCCCTAGGACAAAAAACAAAATTCCGCCACGCAAGAGTTGTGCGCGTTTACAACATCTTTCCGACGACACCAATTTGAAAAGAATCGGACCAAAACTGTAGTAGAAGATAGGAAAAACCTGAAAAACCTTCACGTTAGTATACTACGCTCGAGGATGACGCCCAGATGTCGCCAACCCCACATCATGTAGCCATGTCCCTAAGGTTGACAAATTTCACGGCCTTGTAGATACACGTACACCCGTTTGCCTTTCTACAAGAGTTCTACGCGCCCACATTTGCATCCAGCCAGCCAGCCAGCCAACCAGCCAGCCAGCACACCAAAGTGAGATTAAAAGCTACTTTTTACAAATAAATTTGCAAAAATGCGCTAAAAATTGGGGTGGGGCGTTGACCATTCGCATGTGGCTCAAGTGGTCCCACTGAACCCCCGAACATTCACATGCCATTTGATGGTACCAGAGATGTGAACATTCCTCCAAATCAATTAGCTTCAATGTTTAATTGTATCAGTTTGTGATGTTGATGTTACATATCCGACAGTTTTAAATGGAACAGTTCCCGTACAAATTTTATGCAGGCGAAATGCGCGAGTGTTATGTCACTGGATATATTTTGGCGCGAATCTTAATAATTCAATTGCATAATAACGGAGGCTCGCAAGTAGCTGCCCGTGATGGATTTTCAGTCGAGCGAGAAAGAGAAAGTTTCCGGAGGGACGCGGCAGAAAATAGGTAGCCGGTGCATGTGCTTGATTAACGAATCTAGATCAATTTTAATTTCTAATGTTCCTACGTAGCAATTTAATTGAGTATGTACCTTTTTAAAAGTTACAAATTATCTTGCATTCTTTTGATTTTTGGGGAATTACCTTATGTGATAGATCTCAAAACGTTATTATGTATACATGTTATATACCAATATTATACCTCTTTTTTATTATTATTATGATGAGATAGGTCATGTCCTAGCTAAAGACCTGAGCTCTAACCAAAAACACCAATGCAAATATGTCATATTGCGTACATCTGCCCGTGAGACCCTGGTGTGAATGTCGAACTCCGTTACGTAATAGCATTCATTTCTGTGAATGGCGGTAGCATTCGATTACCATAACATCTTAAATATCAACGTAAAAATCATGATTTGAAGGGAATTCAATTCTCCGATGTTGTCATACAGGTTGAAAACTAGTATAATGCAATAAATTGTAAAATGCAAATTGGAAAAGAAGTAAGAAATTAAGTGAGCACATTTCCTGGAAGGTTTTCAGTAACTCTTTTTCCTTCCTTGTGATCAATGAAAACCCTACTCTCGGTTGTATTTGAAGTTTGCGAATGTTTTCACGATTTAAATAAATTTCGCTTTGCCCCCTCCCCCCCGTTTCCGCGATTTTGTCGTTCAACTTTTCAGATAAGGTCGAAGAAGATTAGAAGAGGTAAACGCGTCAGAAAGTATGCAATGTTAAAATTCGTGGGCCAAAAAAGATTGTCAGAACTAAATTGTTATAATGCTCATTTTTGTATAATAATAAATAGGGCGCAATTATATCCTCGAAGACATTCGCGTTGGGAACGGAATGATTGGCTGCGATACTCCTTCCAAGTCTAATTCGCACAAAAATCCTTTTACTTCACGAAGCTGGTATGGCTATGAATTCATGGTCATACTGATTTGTGTGAAGTAAACTGATTCATGGTGTGAAGGAGACCAATCGAAGAATAATTGCAGTCAATCTTAAGTTACCGAAAGATGATTTTCGCTATGCACTGTTCACTTTTCCCCCACTGCTAAATACACAAAAAATAAAATGCAATAGACCCATGCACAAAAAACAAAAAATCCTACCTTTATAAGGGTGCTCTTCTGGAATCTGAAACAAAAAAACATACGTTAGGAGAAGAAAAGATTTGCCAATTTTCAAAATGAATGGAAATATGCAAGTACGCCTTAAAAAACTAATTCTGCCGAAAAAGCGTCATTTTAATCTGCTGCAATGGTTATCAGTGGGGTAGTTTTTGTTCTTGTATATAGGGGATATTATGTTTATATAAATAATCATAACATTTACCCTTTAATTTAAGCTCGCTTTAGAAGAGACATACACTGGATGACGCACTCTGCTACCCACGAATGTTGACATTTCCTGACTTCTGGAAAACAGGCATGGCAAGTTGGAGGTACCTAACTGAAAAGTAAAAAATTATATCACAAAAAGCACATCGTCCCAAGTTGGTAAGAATAATGTTTGTATAGGTAGCTACATTTAGTTACCTACTAAGAATTTGTGAATGGCACGACAAGAAAATGGAAGAGGTCTTACCTCGTTTTCGGGACCGTATTCAGCAGTATTGAGGGATGACTTGAGCCAGATCTCAGCAGGGAAGAGTACTCAATTTCTTCTTGCTCTGCGAACAATCGAAAACGTCTATTAGGTCAATCATGCAGGTTAAAACCTATCGGGTCTGTTCGATTATTAATGAATTATGCAACCAGTTACGGTACAAATCATCGTCTATCAGGGACGAGTTTACATTAACCAATACGTAAACAAGCGAACATACCCCTATTGTAATGTAATTACTTACCTTCCATTACAACTTTTAAGCTAATCATCGTACACTACTAAATGAGGTATAACAATCCACGAATTCGCTCAGCTTGGTAACGGAAAAATTGACTGAAATACTGTCTGGTTTACAGAAAACCAGTTTACTTCAAAAAACTAATATGGTTATGAAATCATAGTCACACTGGTTGATATAAAGTAAACTAGGTAATTGATAGAGGACAGACACTAGTGAGAGAGTAATTGCAATCAGTATTACGTCACCAAGAAGGTGAGATGGTCACAACTCACTTAGTACTGTGCTATGACAGGTACAAGTTGTCGTAGATTCTTCATTGTCACTGTATTATGCACTATTACTCCCCCCCTCACTGATAAATACACAAAATAGAAAACCAAACACCAGCATGCAAAAGGAAAAAATCCTACTTGATCAGGCTTGCTTCCTGGAAATCTTGAAACAAAGGACACACACGTTACGTTAAAAAGATTAAACCAACGAACGTATCATCAAATTAGTGTAGGTATCCCATAACTAAAATTATCATGTTAACGTTAATCTTCCTCTACCAGAGAGTCAAACAAGGAAACGCTAGATTTTGTGGATTTATGAAAAGATGGGAATATCAAAAATCCTAGTAAAGCCTCTATAACTAAAGAACAGCATATTTCGGCAACTACATACAGAGAAGAACTTAATGGTCTGCTATGGAGCAATTGTCTGTCAATATTAGGGAAACACTACCACATATTTCTTGATGTGTCATCCCAACCAACACATATTCATCTTCACGATATGGATCTAAAAACAAAGGAAGGAAAAGGCAGCTGGTATTACTCCCAAAGAACTGAACTTCATATCGCGCCAACTAGGCAACTTCTACTGTTATTCAATTCAGAGTTGGCAGAAGTAAAATTGTGCACATCTCTGTGCAGATAAAGCGCATTTTTTTAACCGAAATAGCTTTTTGCATCACCAATTGGATATATTCCTGGGCAGACGTCTTAATCGCCCTTTGTGAGTACCCTCTTCCGACAATCCGTTCTTGAAGTATAAGGGCGGAATATACCCGATCACTATAAGACTCGCGATAAGAGGTCGAGGAGGAGGGCTATGGTTGGTAGAAGAAATTAATTCCTTTCGTTGAGACCTTTCATTAGAGTACCATGAAGGATAAATATAGTTCTACCCCCCCCCTCCCCCTCCACCCTGTACTTTGGTAGAAAACGGTTCCTTTCGTTGAGACTTTTAATTAGAATACAATGAGTGATAAAATAATTTTTAACCCCCCCCCCCTCAGACCCCGTCGCTCACTGATCTCGAAAAAGAGTACCACGGGAAAGTTATAGTTTGTACAAACCAATTTATTTCGATGAGACTTGGCACCACTAAAGGCAAAATCTGAGACCAATTGGTTGTCGTATGTAAGGGTTATGCACGTTTTACTTTCAAAAACAGCATCTCAGGAAATAATTCGTGGGGAGGGGGGGGGCCTTTTCGACAGCGAAATTTGATGACCGTCTGGCACACCTTCAAGGTATAGGCTACCTACTGCAAAAAAATTCCAGGACTCTAGGACCATTCGCCTAGCTAGAAGTAGTTTGAAACGGCAGTGGGTCCGGACGGACAGACAAAACGCAAACAATAGCACATTTTTTTTAATTCTTAAAAAATGCGCTAAAAAGAAATTGGGTGATAGAGGGGATCAAGACAAGCACCTTTTCCAAAGAAACCGAACGTCCAACGTGTTTCGTTTGGGAGCCACCCCCAAAGAAGTGGTGAAATTTGGATTTCTCATGTGACAAAATGCTGAATTCGTGGGGAATGGAGGAGTGGACGGACGGATTAATTTCCTGTACACTACTAATTACAAAAAAAGATTTTTTTCTTCAAAATACGAATATGAAATATATAGCGACGGACTGACGGAGTTATTTTTCTGTACGTTACTCGTTACGCAAAAAAGATCTCCAAAAATATCAAGTTAATTAATTTCTATTAAAAAGTGAAGCGGCGGTCATATGGAGATATTTTCTTTACATGGTTTGCCATAAAAAAAGAACCTTTTTTGAAAACCTCACACATGACTTTCCCATAGAAAGTTAATGAAGAGAAGCTTTAGGTACGCCGATTATTTTTTGGTAATCTTTTCGACCAATTAATAGAAGACTGCATGTTAATTGCAACCTTTTAGCGAAATATGAAGATTCTTTTTGCATAGGTACCTAATTAACTACATTCGTCACAACATTTCAAATTTATTGATAAAGAAGTGTGTTATAAGTCGATAAAACTATTCAAATTAATTTAATTTGTCTCTCAAAATATGCGATACCTTTGAATTGCACTCAAATAGCCACAGATGGTGATGACGTGGCGCGTTATCTCTGCACACGTGGCAGGTAACAATACAATTTCTGATTTTATTGTAATTTAAATAGGAAGAAAGACGCTATGCTTATAAAGCGTATTTATTTTGTTATTATGATCTATAATTCCTTTTTTGATTTCTACAATTTTACGTCACCCTATACGAGACCAAAATCTAGGTAGTTTGGAACATGTTAAAGATGAGTAACAAGACTACTTTCATGGCATTATACGTATACAAAACCACCGATTAAAAAAACCGAATCTACCACAAAAAGGTTTGCCAAAATATTTCTGAATTCTGAACTTTTGGTCTTAGTAAATGTGGTTTTTTTGTGGTAGTTGCGCATTTAATTACTTGGGGTTTTACGTTATACCCTAGTGAAACCAAGTAAGAACTCACCCTTAGCCTTTATTAATCAAGCCTTTTCCAAGGGAAGAAACCACTGGACAATAGGAAGAAGCGATACACTTTCACTGCACTGCCGTCTAATTTTCGCGCATGACTGCCTAACGGTAACGAATAACAAGGGAAGTGGGGAACATGTGCCTTACCGGATTTCTTTCGTATCACTTGTGCCTATACTCTTATCTCTAATCGCCATTGAAGGTGCATATCTAGTACCTGATAATTTTGAAGATTTTAATATTTTTATTTTTGGCCAAAATTTGCTTTCGGGAAACTTCGAACCCAAAGAGAGAAACCGCCCTTATGTGCTCAATTCTATCCAATTCTTTTTTTAGCAAAATTAACTGAAGGTAAATTCGCCCTCGCGTTAAGGCCATTTCACGTTCGACCCCATAAAAGGTAGCTCACCATTGGAAAAACTGCTATGTAGGCACTCAATCAGTTTTCCATTTCCTGTTTATTTCAATATCAGAATATGAATATGAAAATAGGTACCTCTTTACTAAGATCTTATTTTTATATAACGTTTATTCTTTATACTTTTTTTATATTCCCACAAATAAAAAAAATAAATAAATAAGTCACTTTTTATTGCATTATTTATTTTGCCCTGTTGCCACGTTCGCGCAAGTCATACGTCAAAATTGATATCGTCAATATACGTAGATTGGAAAAGTAACTATGACAAGTGCAAATCGCATCACTCTATCTCTTTTAGTTCTAAAAATATCGCCGAAAAACAGTGAAAACACCCTGTAAGTGATTAAGTATACTACAGAAAGTATTCAAATTATCAAACTTTTAACACTTCTCGCAGTAAAAAGTTAGCGGACGACATGGAACGATACAGAGACGAACTACTTTACGCTTTTTTTAAAATTTGAAATTAATAGCAACTTCTGTGCGGGTAGAAACATCGAAAAAGCGGATTCTTTACATAATTTCAAATTAGTAGCATCTTCCAGAGAAAAGTTACCTAGCCAAATACATGGAAAGATGCACCCACGGAAGGACGGAGCTCTTTTCATTTACAAACAGAGATAGTTTGTTTTTACATGTAGCAATTTTTATTAAGTTAACTGCAGATATGGACAGATACCTAGATAGTTGTGTTGTACGTTACTCGTTACACAAACAGATCTCCAAAAAATTTCAAATTAATTACACTTTCAAATAAAAAGTGAAGCGCCGATCAAATAAAGATATTTTATTTTTCATTTGCCTATTATATGTCAATTATATCTGTCATATGTGATATATGAAGCAGTCTATTACGCCCAAGGGCATAATGAGAGGGCATAATGGATTGTCATCTCATTATGCCCTCAAACGGCCTGTCAAATTGATTGACGGAGTTATATTATGTCATAAAAAAGATGCAACTTGATTCGTATGGAGCACATTAATGTTGGGCAAACAATAATCATGACATTTGTATATTGGAAATGCATTCTTTGGAATGTTGAAAAATAAAATGTTGTATGCACCTCAGGCATTACTCAATATTTAACCCGCGGGCGACTTACAAACCCTCGGGCCGGAGGCCCTCGGGCTCTGTCGCCCTCGGCATAAATATCGCCTTAAATGCCCTTGATGCATAAATAACTATTGTTTTACATGGCTTTCCATAAAAAAGAACCTCTTTTGAAAACATTTTTGCGTAATTGTATTTCCAACATTTCAAATTTATTTATTGGCGTACAAAAGAAGTGCGTTAGTAACTATAAAAAACTGTTCAAAGCAATTTAATTCGTTTTAGTTGATAATCAAAATAGGCGATACCTTTGAATTGCACTGAACTAACTTACAGCCCTTTGAATTTTCTTTCGAAATTGGTTTCTAGTCTATAACTTTTGATTGAGAAGTCTGATCGAAAAAGTACGAATTGTTTTGGATTCTACGCACCAAAATTAGAAAAAGTTTTTTCTCGAGAAATTTTGGTGCAGTCGATTTTTGGTAAAAAAAAGAAGGTTATACACTGCCTTTTTTTGAGCTCCGAAAAAAAAAATTGTCTCAGATCGACCGGGAAAAAACATTTTCTTATAGAATGTGGCCTGCAGAATCCATAATTTCAAGCAGTTCCAAGATTGGGCTACTAGTTCAAAAGTTACAGCCCTTTGAATTTTCTTTCGAAATTGGTTTCTAGTCTATAACTTTTGATTGAGAAGTCTGATCGAAAAAGTACGAATTGTTTTGGATTCTACGCACCAAAATTAATAAGAAAAAGTGTTTTCCCGAGAAATTTTGGTGCAGTCAATTTTTGGTAAAAAAGGAAGGTTATACCTACACTGCCTTTTTTGAGGCCCGAAAGAAAAATTGTCTCAGATCGACCGGGAAAAAACATTTTCTTATAGAATGTGGCCTGTAGAATCCATAATTTCAAGCAGTTCCAAGATTGGGCTACTAGTTCAAAAGTTACAGCCCTTTGAATTTTCTTTCGAAATTGGTTTCTAGTCTATAACTTTTGATTGAGAAGTTTGATCGAAAAAGTACGAATTGTTTTGGATTCTACGCACCAAAATTAATAAGAAAAAGTGTTTTCCCGAG